ATGGTAAGTGTACAAAGTGGATGTAAAACAACAGGAGGCGAGGAAGTATGCTGGAAAACGTGGGTGCAAAACATGTGAACCTAGTTCTCAAAGATTTTGATGGGCTGACTGATTGGGAGGATAGTAAGTTTTGAGGCAGCTGAAGGGTGATCACAGACAACTACAACAGCCCAGTCACGTTGCTTCTTAATTAACAGTGTAAAAGTATTAAAAAACGAGACTTAGGCAGCTTGTGACATGCAAGAAGGGGAGAAACAGACGGATTCAGTACGGAACATCAACAAGAGAATTAAGGCAAACGCACTAATCACACACAGCCAAACAGGTTAAGCTGTAACCTTATGTGGTCAAAAGACTAAATCGACTGAGACTAGTGGAATACTGTATAATCCAGTCGGCCTGTTGAGGACACCTATCAACTGGTCTCCACTTGTAGAAAACAAGTCAACTGGGACGCATCTGTTTTCACAGGAAAACACCCCGAAATAGAGCGGCATTCCAAATACAGTATCTTTAAACCACAGTAAGAAATTTGAGTGCGTTTTTGAAAAGAAAGGTTTAATTGAATCAGGAGGGTCAAGAGCGGTACTATGGAATAACTGAGTTGAGTCCCCAAAGTAAACCAGCTGAACTATCCCATAGTTGGCACGACTCAGGTGGCGCAACAAAGTACAACCAAAGGGCTCACATGCAGGCATGAAATACATGATCATTGATAATGGATTTCCATTTGTAGTCGAAAAGCCAGATTCCTAGAAATAAGGTTGAGGTAAAATCTACTTGTGCACCGAAACGTTCCAAAGTGACGAGGATTTCATTCTGCGGACAAAACAGTGAAGAATGGATATGATAGCTGCGGACATCACCGTGTGCGCACACGGTTGCAAACGAAAAGGTCCGTCACTCATGATTTACCGACCGTTGTGCTTATAAAAAGAACGAAACCCAGAACGAAAGGTAGGGGGAGTGGAATATACGCAGTGCCGAGTCCTTCAAAGTTCTCCAGATTGTTGTCGCTCACCAGAGGCGACTATTCGCGGAGGAACGTGACCGGTTCAGGTGAGATACTTGTCCCAAACCCCATACTTGGGTTGCCGTTGCTGTTTAGCCAAGCTTGTGTAATCTTGACAACCGAATTGCATGAGTCTTAACGAGATACAGCCGCTATCTCAGAAGTGGTTGTAAAAAGCTTCAATAAGCGGTCATTGACAATAATAACCGTAATGTTAGTAACTACGATTTATGACCCAGGTTCCGCTTGTAATCTTGTAGAAGACACACGGGAATCCATCCGGAAATGGTGTTGCGTAGAAATTTTCAGGTTCATGAAAAACCATTTATTTCATCGTTCTCCTTATCAACGTGCTGATAGCCAATACCTAAGCAGATTAGTCCGAGAAATCCCTGAATAACTTAAAAGAAACGGTATATAACAAATAAGTCACAGCCGCTCGGTCTCTCGCCTTCGAATATGAAGTGATCTGATAAGCGCATTCAGAAATCTGTTGCGACCTACGTGTATTTACCGGTGAGATGGTGCGGCAACGGCCATTAATTGGGAAAATGGTTCGTCCCGTAGTACCAGATTGTAAAATGGTTATTTCGGGGACCAGAAGAAATATTGCAAATGTAAACGCTGACCAAAAAATGTTTCAAATGGAGCCGGATCAGAGCACTCCACACCTGTAAGGTTCAATGTCTAGACAGCAGACTAATTCGAAGGACAGAAAACTACCAACGAACTTACCAACTCCGGCAGCATACTTCGATAGGAGGTGTGGATACCGTAGAGAAAGGGCGTAGGGGCATTCAAATATTCAATCAAACATTTCGGAAGAATCGGGACAAAAGTATGCCTATAGGATTGAAGAAAGGAGGGAACAATAGACAGGTAAGAAAGTGGTAGCAGATCTCTGTCAGCATGCCTCTTTCTGGAAGTGCGGGTGCTTCGAAAAATTAATGGCAATTTATCAATAGGGCAGTTCACTTTCCTGATTCATTATTTTTTACCATACTAAGGTTTTATAAACGCAAGTCAATACGAGACCAGGATGGTGACGCATCGGTTTTTACTAACGGTACCGAGAGACTGACGATTAAAACCAAGGTGACAAGCACTGAAACAACGCTGTTGCTCTATTACCACAGCACGTTGATGAAAAGATCCACTGCGAAGCAAAGCGATGTCCGGACGTTCATGTAAGAGTGTCAAGAACAGATTCTGGAATTGCAAAAGCCATCGATAGCTAAACGGGGAGAGTGGGTTCTCAGATGTGGCACGACTTACAATGTGAATTCAAGCTCTGAGATGAAAAGCAATCTAGCTTTTTGACATCAAAGACATCAGCAAAGTAATAAGACCACTTTCAATCAGGTCCGCAAACTATACCACGGGAATTATGGGAAGGACATTTTCCAGTACTCCAAGATTTTCTGGTATCTGCTGCGTCTCGGCAAGGTTTTTTTTGGCAAACAAACTCATTTCAGTTTTCATATTCACTGCTGATGGACTACAACAAGCAGAAATCTAGGGTTCAACGTCCCAGATAAAATCAGTTAATAAGGGTTTTCATGGAAATGTAAATAAAATTTCCTAAAATCAGGCGAACAAATTCATGTACTACCCATAAACCCACCGACTCTTTACGGGATCCGGCCACAGAGTCAGTTTGATTAGTGCCACAGTCACACAAATGCGCCACAATAACGGTAGACAACCCGCCAAACACTAGTCCAAACTGATTAAGAGTCAGACTTGAATCAAACTTTCACATATACCGGCAAAGCCGACAAGTTTCGCGGGATGTTCGCTAAGTACACGATGAATCGTACTTGAATCGGACCATAGTTTCCGACATGTCGAATCAAATCACGACATTGCCAGTATCGATATAATAATCTCTCTCTGCCTAGTCACCTTAAGCAATTTCCTGCCCACAAGCATCGTATGAATGTAAAGCTTAGCCCACTGGCCACAGTCACGATTCGCTGACCAAATGCAACCAGTAGACACATATATTAAAACCTACTCCATCCTAATTTAGGTAAACGGTCTTTATTATTAGGACGGCGATTACGTGTGAGTTGAAAACGCACAGTACTTTCAACAATTTGATTTGCTGTAGTGGCGTTGCTAGTCGCTTCCGTCTGCCAAAACAGCTATAAACCGTGTACCGTAGGCACATTGGTTCAAGCTGCTACAGTTTCGATCATCAGAAAGTGGGAGAGTGCTAGATATGCAGACAAGCTTTGGAGGCGATGGTATGTTCAGTGAATTCGGAATCTGGGTAGCTATGTACTGAAGGCGATAGCTTTGATGCAAGAGCGCCACTACCTGCACGAGTGGACCATTTCTGCCAGTGTCATTAACCATTGGCGAGATGAGCCCCCGGGTCCGCATCCAGGGCGGCAGTTGCCCACCCGGCTAAGTTTACTGATTAATGTTTCCATGTTTCGTTGCCAGGTCATACAATACCTGTCTCGGGGTTACCCTCTGTCGGACAGACATCGTTTGCCGCGTTTAGATGCACGTCTGTCGGACAGTAGCCCGATACAACAGACATCGTTTGCCGCGTTTAGATGCACTGACTCCAACTACGGCAGTCAACCGAACAATGGAATGCAGTCCAGTAAAGCACATTAAATTCTGGAGCGAAGCACAACTTCCACATCGTACATACCACGAACCATTGCATGAAGATCACATGAAACCTGAAGAGTAAAGTGTGATAAACCTGGGTTCGCCCCACAGCGGTTTGAGGTACATGGACGGATGCGGACCTTGTATGTGTGTTATGAGACACAGCAAACAGCCGAAAGATGGAAGATCTGAGAAACAAATACCCGTTAACCATTTAACAGAGTACGGATGCTGAAATGAGCAATGTGGAATGAGTCTATTAAATCGGATAAGCATTTACTTTGATTGATTTTGTTGAGTAGAAGCTTCGGACACGGAGCGATGATTAAGTGTTTGATAGTCGAATAAACCAAGATGACTTTACTGAGAGATATGTGGGGATGAGTTAGTGAATAAAGAGTAAGGACGAATTGTACCTCCCAGTTGCTCATTTCGGCTCTTTGACACAAAAGCTTAACCCACAATGCAGCGAAGTCGAATAAACCAAGATGACTTTGCTGAGAGATATATGGGGATGAGTTAGTGAATGAAGAAGAGTAAGGACGAATTGTACCCCCCAGTTGCTCATTTCGGCTCTATGACACAAAAGCTTAACCCACAATGCAGCGAGAGGATGTAGGATTTATTTCGAGACACATGCCCTTTGTCTGAGCCAAAAATCAGCAGCGACTGTTGGGGACTCTTTAGGAGGCGAATGTCACAATGGTCTGGCCCTGGGATACCGGGATTAAGGTTCATAATGTGACTGCGAACACCTGAAGTGCCTCAACAAGAAAGAAAGGCTTCGGAGTACAGTACGTAGTTCTAATACGGATAATTGGCTCGCACATGTGATACGGGGCTTTGTCAATGAGCGGATTCATTATAATAGAATGAAACGAAGTTATATCAACGATGAACTTTGGATACTCGGAACAAGTTGGACGAAGCAAAAAAGTAGCTTCGGCATTCATAAACTCCGCTTTAGCAACGCCAGTAAAACACTCACCCATATTTCAACGGATATAAGATGGCTGTCAGTGCCTGACAGGATTCGGTTAGTCGATTTAGACTTCGAGAGCAAAGTAGTACCTTCTGATCACTGAGGATGGCTGAGAATAGGAGAATAACATTGTGAATTCCTGAAGGGGATAAAGAAACATAACGATGGTTAATGGATCCCTTTATGAAATCCACGGACGTCTAGGGGTGAAAGATGATTCCTTGTGCACGTTGATTAGTGTGGTTATAAAACAAGGCGCATTCAGGTGAGGAATTTTACCGCACACTCCCGGACAATCGAGACAAGCGAGAATTCAAATAGGATGTTGGAAAGTGCCAACTGTGCCATCTGTCACAAAGTAAAAGGATGTGTTCGATCATCACGAGCGACTGGAATTAGAGCCTAGGAGCTGGATGTTGATGGTGCTCAGTCGGTGGCTAGATTATGTAATACGCAGGTCGAGATATGGTCTGCTAAGACTGTTTTGCACGCTACATTTAGATTACTGTAACCTAAGGCAAAAACGTGCGACTTGACAGGAGAGTATGAAGATCGATGCCGTCGGTCTGGTCAACTTTCCAGGTTGAGTTTACACGATTCTATCTGTGGTAAACCGGAGACACTGTAAGGTATGACAACTAAGCCGCATCGTTGGAGGTTAGATTCTGTCTAGAACGCCCAATTAAGAGTTTTCACGTATAAGCTTTTGGGAAATTTGGGGTAGGCTAGTACTAGTCCCTCCCGCAAATACACTGTTTTGTTCTTCCTTTCACTACAAGATCTTGGTGAATAACATCACAGGGGTTCAAAGCAACGAAGCATTGGGATCTCCGTTAGCGATCCCCTTCGAGATGAAAATTGAGGGACGGAACATGAATTGGCCTATCGTAAAACCAGTAAAAAAGAGGAGAGGACGAATGAAAGCATTTGTCTATCAATTCTGTCACACATGCGCCCACTCACCCAAATTCTTGAAGAGTAGGGCCACACAATTGCGTGTCACAGGAATAGTATCACAGCGCGGTGGTTGGATCACTTGTCGATCGCCGGCGCCCAAACTGAACGTTATACGAGGGCCGCCTGAAAAAGAAATATCTAGACGTTTAAATCATACATGCTACCCTAGCATTCATCAAACTGGAATCATCCGGTAATGTTATTTCCTGTGACGAGTGCGCGGAACAGCAAAGTTGAAGGTACGTATTTCCGGCACGAGCTAAGCAACGGCGCATAACCTGAATTTAGCTATTAAATTAAAGTGCTGAATAAGGACCCCAAAAGTAGATAAATCACTCAATGCCAATCATTTTCAGTTCTTTAGTTTCCTCTAAAAACGGAGGAGAAAAAACAAAGGGATCTCACAGCATTATGTAGGGGGGCTCATTAGAATGGTGAAAGTAGGAACAATCTCAAAAAACTGTCCGGTTAAAAACTTAGCATTCAGAACGAATAATCACACAAGGGCGAGAATGAGAGAACTCTTATTCAAAGTATAGTCGTTGGACCGGCTTCCCAGAGGAACCTGTAACTTTATACAGACCTTATAAAGGACTGTCATCGTGTGGGGATCAGTGCGGACACACAGATTATCTTTATTCTGAGAAAAACGTCGACAAAAGAAAATAGCCAGCAGGTAACGCCAACCACAAAGGTGAGGCTAAAAAATCTCGCACTTTCGTTGTCGTCTGCGAACGCAAACGCAAACACAGATATCGAAAACCGGACCAACCAACGGGAAAAGGACCTGATTGGGCTGTCACAATACAAAGTCAACAGCCTCAACTCATTGAGATACGACTGCACGATGTGAAATGAATAATAATGGAGTATTGTGTGAAAAAAAGAAACCAGCATTTAGCAGCTCGCCACTCCGTTGAGGGGTTTTCGGTCTAGTAAGACCTTAAAGTCCTTTAATCCTTATCCGGTAAATGCGGTTTTCTCTAAAACCTTACCCAGGACTATTACTCACGAGGCTGCAGTATCATCGTATTGGAACTAACAATATGAGATAAACTATTTCAACTGAGTTGTAGTTTTTGTTGCAAACCAGTAAATGCTCTCAGACGGCTGAAAAAGATGCTGGTGAACGAACGTGCTTCTACTTTCAGGCGAGGTATTCAGGGACCATTCCGTACCATGTAGTAAGAAACCCTAATCATAAATGTTCCATCCCTATCCACCAACGATGATTGTCGGATTACAATTTACCGGAGGAGGGAACTCGTTCCCAAACCACCGCCATCACCCCCTTGTTGGTCTGAGTGGAAGACGAGCTGTTGAAAACCTGAAAAGAACCATGGAGCACTCAATTGTCCAGAAAGGTCAAAGTCCGTTATAGACAACCTAACGTCAGTGATCAAGGATGGTGGATCGCAACCAAAGTGATGGTCTAAGAACACAAGAGCTAGTTTTTATTGGCTTTCTGACCTACCAGTTGTCCTGCTGATAACTGGTGTCAAGGGCATCGTTTACCCTGTCACATCGACCGTTGTGATGCCGAATCTTACCCGCAGTGCGGTGAATCTCTGTAGGCTAGTCCCCCAAAGTAAGTGTGCACATGACAATATCGCTGTTGTCTACTCGCCGATTCCTTCAGAAGGCATGAAGATGTGCTTAAAAAGGCAGCCACAAAAAGCTGCGATGTGACGTCTAACCTGAATCTAAGCACAGAAGCCCAGCACAGCGCTTCCCGGAGATCAGTGAGCGTCTACATTTTTGGCTTCAGAGAAAAATTAATTGCAGGCAAAGTGATTTGGAGTATAATACTAGCACAAATCCTCCACTGCTCCAGTTAGAAGCAGAGATCATGGTGACTTAGTCCTAATTACGTGAACGAGAACGCTCTCTGGACTTTGTTAGTGGCATCTACCCGAATTTAGCTGCCACCGTGACGTAGTAGTCAAGCTTGTGAGTTGCCATGACCCTGTAGACTGCACTCGGAACATCGTTCCACTATACCATACAGGAAAGGCTAGCGCATACTCATCAGACCAATTACAGCGAACAGTTTCCTTTTTAAATATATCCTTTTGTTGGAGACGTAAGCGTTATTCTTAAATCTGACTAGAAGCTGTACTTTTTGGTACCAAAACCGTGGAAATCGATTTGGTTCTGGTTTTCGCGAAGCGACGCCTCCAAAAGAAATAGTTGCGCCAGCCTTATTCTGTGCAAAATGATCTTGCAAGCCCAAGTGCTTGAGCAGCCGTGGAAATCGATTCGGTTCTGGTTCTTGCGAAGCGACGCCTCCAAAAGAAATATTTGCGCAAGCCTTATTCTGTGCACAATGATCTTGCAAGCCCAAGTGCTTGAGCACTAGTTTCTTAAAGTAACATCGTGCGCAACGCGGCTGACCAACCGCCCTGGTGCTCTCAAGTTCGGATGAAAATATTGAAGGATATACATAATAGTTTGACCGAATGTTGTGAGATAGTGACGGCAGCTAGTGCCAACTTACTTTTGACATCTACACCGATATATGAGTTGGATGACAGGATGATCTTGAGATCTCGAAACCACACGGAGTTCTTACTATAAAACAGTCTACTCGTATGTCCTTAGCTCTTTAGGCCATTTAACAACAATGAAGAAAGTCAAAATGACAAGGTTTTGCCGTCACATGAACAGAATCATCGGTACTGAAGTGTCACAAACTTACTCGCTTTCTGCTCTATAAGCCTCATATCTTATGGTGCGCAACGGTGAGCACATGTCAGCACAAAAGCGCTCGACTATGTTGAAAATACGAACCGCTACTTGAAAACGCTGGGCCCATGAGAATGCCACCTTCTAAATGTTCATCCCATGGATTAAAGTAACTGATGGAATCTGCTAAACCGACGTACTAGCGCATTTGGATAAGCTGACAAAGCTTCCTTTCTCTTATTCATTACAGGGCGCCAATATCGTCACGAACACGATAAATCCCGGAAGCCATGAACAAAACGCTTGGCAAGACGTAACATTTCACCTTAATTTTTCCTATTTTAGTGGGATGGGACGTACGCGTTCCGCAAAATGACTGGGCACCACAGATCTGCGCCGCTGGATAGCATGAATAACGTCAGCTGCGTTTATCCTATATAGGTATCATTGGGCGATTTTGACTAAAAGTTTGAGGTTTTCTCCTGATTCACATTGATGTTCGATGGTTGTTATTATATTAAGTAGCTCACGGTACACAATTGCAATATCAATTCAAGTGACAGCTTCCAGGCATTCCAGACATGTTTTCGAAGCGAAAGATGGAGCAGTTTGGAGACTGAAACCTGTGGACTGATGGTGCGCACATTGACCCCATATGTCACAGCACATTCATGTTTTACACAGTATTGCAGAGAGGTAGAAGGATTAACAAAACCAAGCTCCTCTGGTCTTCATTTTTGAAAATGAATAGAGGTGAACGAGAAATCCCCAAGTAATGGTTGGGCTGCGAAGTTGGAGGACGCCTGACAAAAAGAGGGGATCACTTAGGGTAATCAGGGTATACGGACAGCTAACTATCAAAAAACAATGTGATTCACACAATCTCTAACCGCAACTCCGAAAACAACATTCACAGTTTCTTGGAGAGTGGTGATGACGTCAACAGTAAAACAGAAAAAACGGAGAGCATGCAAATATGACAACATCTGCCAGTTGTGATGAAACTTCCAAATGGTTTGTTGTCAACCCCAACGGATGTACGGGAATCAAGAGCACGAATAATATAGATATTCCACTTTTGTCAGAATGAACCGACCTTTCTATGGAGTCGACGGGTCATTGGAAGCCGATTGTTGGTCGGTGGTATGCTGTTAAAGCACCTAAAGTGAACAGGTAATCAACGCGTCCACACGCGGGCGAAATTCTACCTAATCCCCTGGAACCTACCTCCCATTTGCTGAAATTGGGTGTCCAAGAATCATTGAAACCGGCCGTCCTACGACTACATTAAAGTTAATACATCCATCAGTCATTTCAGGTAAGCCCCTTGAGTATAAAGTTGCATCAAACGCATTCCTGGACTTCCTGCCCCAAAATTAGTTCCAGCAAGGGTAAAATCAATGATTCACCGCTTGAATAACGTTGATGAAATTGGCGTTTCAGAGTGAGAAGTCATATTAGTTGTGGGAAACGTGGAAAAATCGCCTAGCCGCTCCGATGTATTTGCACTGTGAATCAAGGTGAGGAAGGTCGGAGCATGAAGATCAGTTTGTCAGTAGAATCCTATCAGCATTTCAAGTCCGTTACTCATTACCATTAGTAAAAACAAGCAAGTATCCTGAGTCCACAATATCCAGAAAGAAAATAATTGAGTGACCACATCTGTTCAGACTCAGAAAATATTATCTAGAGCCCCATAGCATTCGATTACGTATAAGAAAACATACGAATCACGGAATCAACACAGCAATGACGATGAACCCATTTTAAAGCTGTCCAAAAAAGACATAAACAGCGTATTCTATTCTTCCACAACGAATAACTAGTTGGATAGGACATGTTTGGGGGTAAGCGACTGACAAAATACACGCCAAAACCCAAAGGTCGTGGTGGGTTGAAAGATATACAGTGTAAGAGCAGAGTGCTAGAAAAACAAGGTGTGAACCGACATTTTCACACTACAGTGGGTGGACGTGGTGCCAAAAATTAAAAAATAAAGTTGTAAGGTCACGACAGTCATACGTATCCGTAAGGAGTCACAGGTAAATTGAGAAAGATTGTGGATGCGATACTCAAAACTTCTCCAAAAACACTCAATTGTCCACTACAAGTTTCCAAAATACTTTGTTGAATAAATGCACCGCTCATGTGTGGAACCCTTTCGGTGCACAGCTGCCACGCAACCCGAAAGAAGTACGAAAGCTGAGTTACTGCCAGATCGCCCAGAGCTAGACAGAAGCAAACGAAAACCTAGGGTTCGATTTGAACCACGAATACGCTCTGGTCAGTATCCGCTCAGCTAGCTTGCTGATCCCAAAATTTCTTACTGATTGGTTCCCCGTCTGTCTTATAACCTGGCCAATATGGTGACCTGCTTACTTGGCCTGATGAAGCTTTTGTGTAAAAAGCGAAACGCTGCCCAAATAAAAACTACCGATTGTTTACCAAGCTTTTCTGAAACGATGACTTCTCAATCGGTTCCAAACCTTTTCCAATTGAGTGAAAAACCAGAAAGCTTTGCATGGACCAGTGACGATCAGTGGTCAGAGGGTACCCTTACTGAAGTCAAGGTATGCAAATGAACAGGAGAGGTCGACTGTCTGACAGCCAGATATCGCGCCTCAAACTGCCCATAGCAAACCAAGTCCCATCACGCCCAATGGACTCAAAAACAATAGGAACTTAGGTACACCGTGCACTCCACAGCTGACCATTGGATCAATATTTTTAGTAAACAGATGATGGTTGCCGGAACAAATGGCGTGGGAGAATGCTAAAAGACGCAAGTTATTCTGCGGATAAGTAATCCATCTACGAGCAACGGCATCACCAAAGTGATTTATGTGAAAGGTTATCCATCCAGTGTGTCAATTGGGATTTTTGACGACTCGCAGCAAACAAGTATTTGTCAGTGGAGTCAGAATTTCTATCAGCCTTTGGAGTAGCACTGTGTTACCCCGCTCACTTCTGTCAGAGATCAACAAAAAGATTCATAGTTTGACTGATAAGTCGAAAACAAATTCACGGGACAAAACATTCACCTGTTTATCAGGAATACAAAACACCTGCTATTAAAGCACTTCTGTGCAAACGTGAGATAAAACGTGGAAAATGAGATGACCTTTGAATAATTCAACTACGTACCGCATCAAGTGCACCTGCAAACTTGATGAAATCTTCACTCAATGCTAAGATTACAACATTCAACGTTAGATGTATTTTGTACCAACCGACTCGAAGACTTCAATCGATGGCAACACGCAGTTACACATTGACCCCCGAAATGGCGATGCTCATTGTGCGGAATATGTAATGAGCGACGCCAAACTGTGGGCTGTAAACAACATCGAACAACGGAAGTGAAACATTGGGAGTAGTGATAGACTAGCTAACAACCTTGCCATGTGCCCAATTTAAGTTTTGACATTCTGAACTCATTCAGTGTTACCGATCCCGGTGATGGTTACAGTTTCAGAAAGCGGCGCAGTCCACCTGCACCTAACCCATCCAACAGATTCTCAGAGCGTACAAGTTAAGATAGTTATGCTGGTTATGCTGAGCACAAGTTATACCATTGGAAAACTTTCTTCCACAAAGCAGCGTGGTCGCTCCCTGAAACGACGGGCCTCAGTTCATAAACTTATTAGTGGGTTAATCAAAAAATTCCGGCTCAACTGCGTATTAGCAACTGCAACGGAAAGTCCAATGTCTACAACAAGTGGACCAACACAACAAGTGCTGGAGACATCCCGCTGCATTGCAGCGTCCAACTACCAAGCGAAACTACAGGAATTTCCGCTGGGCAGTCCCCAAGCCGAGTGATTTAGTTGGTACCAAGCGCAGCTAAAGCCAAACTTTATGAGGAAAAAGCGAGATGGCCCAAGTGGCTAGAGTGCGAATTTACTGGCCGGATGGTCTGTGGCTCGAATCCGACGTCTGCCTCTCGACTTTCCTGTCTAGGCTTCGGCAACCTGACAGTATCTTAGCCCTCGTGTTCCCTTTGGGTGGCATGGCAGCTAGGCACCGAAAGGGTGTTACGGCTGAACGATTAGTTATTATTAGTAGGAGCAAAAAGCGGCGTTGACATCAGGGAGATGACGTTCAACTGCAAGGCACTCACTAAAGAGTATACACAGAGTGAAAAGAAGTGCACAAAATGAAAACGGGAAATCAGTTCCACCGAGAAAAACGCACCTGCAAACTTGAAGCGTATGAGCAGAGCAAGTAACTTGTACCACGAGATCGCGACAAATACGACGATCTGCAACTTCTACGCCGCTGACCCGTAAAAAACTGTCTGTTATGTTAATGTGCTGACTACTAGCCTTAGCTCCTGATAGCAAAAGTACGGGAACTAAGTTACCTGTCTCACGAATAACCCTTTTTGCAACCCAACGAAAGTACAGGATGTGATAGGACTTTTCAATATGTTAAAGGTGTGCAAAGGCCAGCAAGCGGCCCCTTAGAGCTGATTTACCTGAAATCCCCGCTACGCGATTGTAGTTAAACTGAGGATGATTCACATCATCGGGTATCACTAATAAAGGGTACATTTGGTATGCGCAGTTCGTTAACAGGACCACGTAGCCAGTCAACCACACAAATGTACTCCACGACGATTTTATCCTTATGATTTTACCTTTGAACATCAAGTAGACCGAAACGCAATAAGGTCAGAAAATGCGATCGACACAACCGATAACGTCCGGTTTCCAATTACTCAGTAACTCCACGGCGTTAAGAGAAGGCAGTCTGGAGTGTATCCACATTACAATTATTGCCTATCTCATCCGTCACTATTCATTCAAGGAGGATATCCCCTTGTAGATAAGAGGATAACCCGATCGCGCACACTTGCACAGGTTGTTAGTCATCATGTTATGGAAAACCGTCAGGAACTAGCTGAATAAGCTCATAAACTCAAAAGTGATTGCACTCTAAGACTTGAAACACGCAGTGGAGCTTCGGAAATCCCACTGAGGTTTAAAACGGACGTCGTTATAGTCAGACATAATGGAGGGTTTGTGATACTGTGCAAACCAGGACACTGAGAACCTATAGCTAAACGTGTTTGTGACAGTAGAAAATCAACACTCCACTAAGCTGGAAGCGGAAAAAATACTAAATGGAGTGAAGAACATTCTGGGACATCAAAATCGAAAAATAAAAATAATTACCATACAGGGATAAAAACACCAGATTTTCATTCGTAAGGAGCATTTCGTGTAGTTAGTAAAAACGGCAAGTATTAGGAGGTAGAAGGTATATCACGGGGAAAACAAACTGCTCAAAGTAGGGATCAAATGTAAGCCGTCTACTGTGAATAAAGATTGAGGAAATGTTACAAAAGTATGAGCATCCGTTCCCTGGGAAGAACGGACCAAAAACTAACCTGTGGGTGGCACATCCACAGATCCCAAAAGAGAAGCAATCATCTGTTCCAGTGAATACTGATGTAGGGAGTCGGCAAACACGGTGTACAGGAGACTGAGACTATTCTACAAGTAAATAGCGAGAATAGACAAGTGAAGCAACCTCGTGTAAAATTCGAAACTCAACGAAGCAAGAAAAAATTACTGATTGAGCAGGCACCATGGAGTGAACCGAAAAACCTAATTTGAAGTTCAGTGGTCTAGGACAGAGCCGTCAGAGGTGAACTAATGCTGATGGCACCGGCGCAAGCAATGCGATCGTTCATCTGGATACTAATACCGCTTATCAACTCGTCCCGAGACCATTGAAACATGAGTCCCCGGGGAGTTGGTACACTCCCTGAGAAGAAAGGTAGTGCCTTAAACTCGGGCTTGTCTAACTCGTTGTTTGTTAATGTGCACACGGTGACGCATCGACCAGCGAGTCAGAAACCGTCTTACAACCAGACATAAGGCTACAAGTGCTGAATAAGTGAAAAGAAGAACCGAAAATGTCGGAGTCGAGGCCTAGTACACATAGATAACTGAAGCAGTCATTCTGTCTAGCTTGCACAGTTTGTAATAAAAAGCAACGTATAATACTACCCAAATCTCCTTCGGTTTGGTCCATTTTCAGTGAAACACATAATGAAACTGTTCACAAAACATAAGATTTGACAAGCCTGAAATTCAGTTTTTTAAAGAGAACAAAGTTACAAGGGAACATTCATGATATTTCTTTTACAGCAACCCTCTTAAATAGGGGAATACAGACAACCAATAACAATCTTTTAGCAGCGCTGTGGAATGTGCTTGAAGAGCGCGTTAAGGGCATTCAATAACTTCCATGATCCAACCACCGCACGCCATAAATCAATAGTGTCGACACGTGCACTTATTAGCGGATGCAGCGGAGAAAAGTTTACACTGTGACACAAAGCTGAAAACAGTTGTAAAGGACACTGCGTTTGCACGGGGCTAGGAAAAATACCAAGCAAAGTCAAGCAAGGATTGCCAGTACTGTTCGGAATAAGCCGATCGGACCAGGACGTAAAGGACGTCATCGGCGAACAAACGTAAATTTCACTAGCTAATTAATGAGGCGCAGAAGTCACAGCGCAAAACAGCAGACACATGTATACACCACCAACACGATGCCTGCTACAAGGGTCATTCACCAATGAGGTTTTATGACAATTCGTTTCAACAGTGTATCAGATCTCTTTTAATCATTTTTACCCTACAAACCCTAGCAAACGGTGGACGTCAGTACTATCACACCTAACTACAAATACCGCATGTTTAAACTGAAACTTTCCCTCATAACATTCCTACAGCGCTCGATTAGATAAAATCAAGTTCATTTTCGGTCTAATTTGTTAAAACGTCCGGCTACAAACGAATATGTTGCCAAATACATCCAACCCCAAAATGTATGTATGAGGTGCAAAAACTATATAAAAGCCGGTGATGGTAACGAGTAGAAAGATATAATGACACGGACGAGAACTTGCCTTTAATACATCGAAATGCTGATGTCGAGCCAGGAGTACGAGACATTTGGGAGCAAACCATTCAGCTGGGCGGACAAGGTTCGGATCACCATGATCTGAGAATCCGGTTGGTTGAAGGAGATGAGAGTTGGCATGGTTTGTAGGGATGAACAAACCCATGTCCGAACTAGCCAGGCTTTCGGAACTGTGTACACTGCTTGCAGTAGGACTGGGGCGCCAGTGGTAGGGATGTAGAAAGTGGGTGCCACCATTCATGAGGCCACCGGCAACCCGTGCCCCTGACTGAATCCCGGTTGTCAGAACATTCCGGTCGCACTGACTTAGTTGTTGTGTGGTGACCGCTTCGTGGAATGTGAGACAAGCAGCAAAGTAGGAGTCGCCTTCCATGTCCGTCAGATAGGCGACAAAAAACATCGGTGGGGGCCGACTGGTTTCGAGATGCCAACCCCATGGTTGACAAAACTATGGTTGAAAAGATGATGAAACATATTAAAGGGAGTATGAAACTTACCGATTCCAAACGGAAATCGAAAGGGTAGTCTGACCAGGACTTTGTAGGGAACCGGTGGATTATGCGTCCTTCACTTTCAGCACCAGCTTGAAAATGGAACAGGGAATCAGGATGGTGCATTTAGGTAGATTACTCATGTGAATACCAACAGTACAAGCAATAAAAACGGAACCTCGAAAACCACAAGCACCTATAACGCGGACAAAGGCCGACAGACAGGCAATGAAGCCGACCAACTACGGTGACGCTCTCTGGGGTCAACCCTATGATGCCCATCCCGGTGTTTTCTGAAAAACCACAAGCACCTATGACGCGGACAAAGGCCGAGAGACAGGCAATGAAGCCGACCAGGCAAACTACGGTGACGCTCTCTGGGGTTGACCCTATGATGCCCATCCCGGTGTTTTCTGCACCAGTTAAAGCAAACAAATTAGCCTGGCTTATATGTTAGAAAGTCGCAAAAAGTGGATGAGTGGTACTAACAGTTTTCGGCTGGCAGTCTATTGGAGTCAGACAAGGAGTTAAAATGAATAGTTAAGATGTGACGTACAGTGCAGCTGGGTGAATGCAGGAAGTTGCCAGTCCGATTCCCGTCACTAACGTTCGCTAGATTGTTCAGTTAAATGCGCCCGAGGCTTTTTCTTCCACATTCACTAAATCGCATTTTTTTCTAAATCTGACATGGGAAACTACCGGCTCCTGCGGCATGCGTCGCCAAGGAAGTAAGAAGTACTACATAATTACTATCTAAGTTTACGTGCCTAGTGCAGCTGAAGCGCCCAAGCTTAATCAATAGTTCCAACTACACGCTCACCTGAAGCCTACTGCGGAGAAAGATACTACAGTCTTAACCGACCTGGTTACCTAAATGAGTTGAGTCCAGGTGACTCTCGTGACATAGATAAGATTGAGAACGTCAAGAGTGACCATCTTTCGAACATGTGCCGACCACTTGTCTCCCTTGGGAGGAAGCGTCCTAAAAACCATTACGTAACTCAGGGTTCACCAGCCGATCACGTTAACCTAAGATGTCAATGTAGAGTTTCTGTGTACTAGTCAGTGCATCGTTCCCCTGGATTGTCATTCCTCTTTCTACAAGAATTTCGTCATACTCACGCCGACTTTCTTAGGTTATTTTCAGTCTGGCCAACCGATCCATTCTAACAACTGACAATCGCAGGCATTTCTACCATAATCTATCAGGTCTTGAACATCTCAAACCAACTGAGATTGAACGTAGGCATTTCTACCATAATCTTGAACATCTCAAACCAACTGAGATTGATGGTGTTTTTCGTACCTTGATCTGAAACGGAGCTTCTACCGATCATTCATTAGTGGAAACACTTTGATATTTTCACTGGCTTTTTGTCTTGTGAAAGTTCACACCACCCCAATTTGTCTTCATAAAAGGTCCCACCTCATTTCGATGACAGTTTCCAATACCCAATAGTCCTTCATCCAAATAGCTCGATCACCTCAGTACATACTGCCTAATTATAAGAAGCGCAATTCGGGAAATCCTGATGTGTTTCTAACCTTAAGCTTCCGCCCAAAAACGAAGTTAACATCCAACATGAAACATTTCCAGCCGTTCTGTTTTGCATGGAGTTTACAGGCAAAAGGACCTAATGCGGTTTTAAGAATCCACGAAAAATCAATGAACTTTGCAAAATTACCCGGTTCTTTTCTTAATTTGGACAGATTACCGTTTGCACTTTTCCTCTATCCCTGATAAGGTCCCTACACTGACCGCTCTCACTGAGCACACGAGTCCTTACGCAGTGACTGGTCGACATATCATGGCATACGACTAACAACTTATGCATTCGCGACTAGCGCAGAAACCTGGGCTTTACCGCAGTACAACCGTATCAACCCCATGACAGCACAAACAAAATGAAGAGGCATTGAGATGCTAGCTTAATGAGGTCATTCAAGGTGCCTAAATCGCAACCGACGCGAAAAATCCTCGATCCCCAGAATGTCGAGCAGTTAATCGGGTACAGCCGATCCCGAAATCCTGTGAAGTAAAGTTACACGGAAAAGATACACCGTTCGTCTAATGCGTGGGCCCATGCGCCACTAAATGCAGCTAGAGGGTTGTCAGGGATGAAATCTACACGCGACCTCACAATCTCCGACAAACAGAAGGAACCGCTGTCAATCTAACAGCCGGGAATCTGTATACGAGTCGGTCATTTGCACTCAGGATAATACCAACATATTGGTTCCCCTGGCTTGGCGAGGAATCGAAACAACGATAGCGATGGGCTGGAAAACTGTACAAGCCTTGGACAATATCTAGTCACTGAAACAACAGATATCGTCAGTGTGACCACGTAACTTGACGTCCATTCAACACCGGAAATACAATCACAATGCCATGAGAACCCGATGTTTGGTAGCACGAAGTTACCGATGCGCTTCAATGGGACGACGACCAAATCAACCTGCTATGACTGAGCTGATAGAATCAGATATTTTGGAGACCTTCTGATACAACGTAGCGGAAGGACTACGTAAGTCAACAGATGGTACTGAAAGGTATGCGTGTTCTATTTAAAATAGCCCCAAAAGCGTCGGAAGCAACGTTTGTGGATGTATTGCCCAGTTAGCATCATAATCATAATCACTGACAGCATAATATCAGTGCTCAACAATGGTGCTTTGCCGCCGTACAAACCCAATTTATTTGGAAAAATAAAAGTGGACGGGGGAGAGACTTCATGCTAGACTAACACAATCATTCCGAGTTGTTGACATCTCCAAGCACTCATTCAGGCAATCCGGATAGAAACTGAAAGCCAGAACGTCAGTGACATGGAGTACCAGTTACATCTTAGGGCCCCTCCAACCAGACGCGGCCTTCATTCTGGAAGGTTAGTAGAACAGACAGCACCCAGACATTCCGATAGGACCCCCCAACCAGACGCGGCCTTCATTCTGGAAGGTTAGTAGAACAGACAGCACCCAGACATTCCGTAATCTCTTTCACATCCCTCTGCCAATTCAAAGGTTGGGCATCTCCCTGCTTCCGTCACTCTGAAATGGGTACGGAAAACGATGGTTTGGCATGCGCAACACCTGGCCCAACGAACGCAGCCGGACATGTTCTTCAATGGAAGTTCCAGTTGTACACTCGAGCACTCACTTTCTAATTGCCTCGTCATAGATTGGCCGACAACAACCAACACGAGCTATGTTTCTGAGACAACAGTTGTCGAAGACCTGAAGACGTCTCAATTCCGCTAATCGAACAGGTTATATCTCACGGCCAACAACAAAACAGTCACTACAGGGAACTAATTCATACATACATCCCTAGAAATTCATGGGTAATACCTATTTGACGCCATAGGCGTTTCGCTGTTGTATGGGTGCGAGACATGGCCTCTGCAGACAGATGATGTGAGGCGTCTTCAGGTTTTCGACCACCGATGCCTCAGAAGCGTGGCTGGTTGTGGATGGCGTCAGCGTGTCAGTAACGAGGCGATTAGAAAACGGGTATTTGTGCTGCAGGCACCTCAATCCGGGAAAACATCCAGCATCATCGACTACGGTGGCTTGGTCATGTGCTACGCATGCCAAAACACCGTCTACCAAGACGAGTGTTGTTCTCCGTGCCTCCTTCGGGATGGCGCAAACCGCGAGGTGGACAGCACATGACTTGGCAAAAAGGCGTGAAAGAGATCACGAAGAGTTTGGGTGTTGTTGGT